AATACCAGTGTCTGTATACTGGCTGAAAATGTAAACAGAGTATTTTGATTCTCTCTGTTAAAATGAGGAATGGATTTTATAGACCTGTGAGACAAAGAAAGAGAGTGAATGAATGAATGAACACAGCTGTAAAGTGCTATAAAGTTTTTACTTCTGTGTGTTTCGGATGACCACATTATTCATAAGCGGTTAAGCCATAAGTGAGTGACTCAGCTTATCCCAGTAAAAAAGCTGCATCCTTACTTGGTATCATCAAATATTTTTACTTCTGCCACTTTAATTGTTGATTCATTTATTTCTGAATTTTTGCCGTGCTTTCCCCTCTTTTAGAGGACATCAGCTATTGTGGAAACACTGTCAATAGTCAGGACAGGGTTTAGTTATGTGACCATATGTTGACATGGCTAAAATGTGCACAGGAGGCTTTTGAAAAATGTGCGAGCATCATTTCATTGCACAGTGAGATGCTGTGGCACTGACTGATGCAGATGTGAGTGCAGAATCAAACAGACAGTGCTTCATACCAAACGCAGTGCTATAGAAATAAGCAGGCCTGCTTGATAAGTAAGCTTATAGTTATTACATGTGGCTCAACAAAGATTTGGTTACCTGTTCAAATAGTTTCAGTTGATCAGAGTGAAAAATTGTTACAATTGCAAGTGTCGTAGGGTAAGCTACCTTATGTTTAGACTCAGGGATCAGAAGATGTAATGCCACGTGAATTGCATGACTAAGGATAGCTCTTTAGGAAATATAAGGAAAGACTGAATCATGAAGTGGTAACATAGGGAATGAATGGAGATAACCTCTAGCAGAGAGCCCTAGGGTAACCAGGACCATGTGAGGGTTTCTCTACATTAATGAGATGGAAAGGTTTAGTTGCAACTTCTTTCTAGGAAGGTAAAGATCCAAGTCTTAAAATGTGGCCTAATGTGTCAGTGTGGTGAAGAGTGCAAGACGGAAGACTAGGAAAGAAATACCTACACCAGCAAACTGGGAAGGAACGCCAGTTTGCAGGGAAACTGATTGATTGAAGTTGACTCTGAACTATGGTGTTGCTTTGAATGGGCATGAGACCTCCCAGAACGGGATATCTTTGAATTTGCAAGTGTTCACTGGAAAGCATAGGAAGAACACACTGCAGCAGAGGAGGAGCCTGATATTGCTGTGAAATGGTTCTGCAGTGTATGATAGCATCTGCTTGACACTGCCTCATCATAGGGGTGGATGATGAGCCAGTTCAGAGCTTGTGGGTCAGGATTAGTGGGCAATACAACAAGAGCAATGCTTTGGTGGATGTCTGTTATAGATCACCTGATCAGAAGAACAAGTAAGGGAGGCCTTCTTCAGGCAACTGGAAGAGCCTCACAGCAGACAGCAGGGCACAAGAAATCCAGGACGTTTCTGGAGTGATGACAACTTCCTAACATAGATAATGGATAAGCTGAAGTGAGGAGTCGCTCTACTGGACCTGATATTTACAAACAAGGAAGAATGGGTTGGGCATGTGAAAGTCAAGGGTAGCTTTGGCTCCAGTGGCCATGGGATGGTGGAGTTCAGGATGCTGAAAGGAGGGAGCAAGAAAAAAAGCAGGATCACAACCTTGGACTTCAGGAGAGCAAACTGTGGCCTGTGCAGGGACCTGCTTGAAAAAATGCCGTGATACACAGCCCTGGAGAAAAGAGAGGGCCAGGAGAGCCAATTGATTTTCAAGGATCACCTCCTTCAAGCTCAAGTTCATCCTGATGAACAGGAAATGAAACAAAGGTATCAGGAGGCCTATGTAAATAAGCAAGGAGCTCCTGACTAAACTCAAACATAAAAAGGAAGTTTACAAGAGGTGAGGGTAGGGTGACCTGGGAGGAATATAGAGACACTATGTGAATGTGCGGGGATGGGATAAGGAAAGCCAAGGCCTACCTGGAGTTGAATCTGCTAAGGGACATGAAGGGCAACAAAAAGTGTGTTTAAAGGGAGATCAGCTGCAAAAGGAAGATGAGGGGGGAGAACAGACCCACTGCTGAATGGTCTAGGGAACCTGGTGACAAAGAACACGGAAAAGGATGAGATACTCAACTCTTCTTCACTGTAGTCTTTACTGGAAGTATTCATTTTCAGAAATCCCAGGCCTCTGAGATGGGCAGCAAAGTATGGAGCAAGGAAGACTTACCTTTGATGGATGAGGATTGGGTTAGGGAATATTTAAATAAACTGGACAAGTAAACAAGTCAGTCTCTGGAACCTGATGGGATACACCCACGAATGCTGAGGGAGCTATCTGATGTCATTGTGAAGCCACTCTTGATTAGCTTTGAAAGGTCATGGCCACTGGGGGAGGTTCCTGAGGACTGGAATAAAGCAACCATCTCTTTTATCTTCAAGAGGGACAAGAAAGAGGATCTGGAGCACTACAGGGTGGACAGCCTCATCTCAATCCCTGGGAAGGTGATGGAGCTAACAATCCTAGGAACTATTTTGAAACATATGAAAGACAAGAAGATGACTGGAAGTAGTCAGCACAGTTTTATAAGGAGAAATCATGCCTGACCATCCTAATAGCCTTCTATGATGAGATGATTGGCTGGGTAGATATGGGGAGAGCCGTAGATGCTGTTTCTATTGACTTTAGTAAGGCTTTTGACACTTTCACGTAACGGCCTCATTGACAAACTGATGAAGTGTGGGCTACATAAGTGAACAGTGACATGGTTTAGTAGCTGGCTAAGCTGCCTGGGCTCAAAACCTTGTGGTCAGCAGCAAACAGATCAGCTGTGGGCCACACAAAGGGTGTATCCCAGGGTCAGTAATGGGATCCAAAACTGTTTAACATCTTCATTTATGGCCTGGATGATGGAAGTGAGTGCACCCTCAGCAAGGTTGCGGACAACATAAAACTGGGAAAAATGATTGATAGACCAGATGGTTGTACTGCTGTGTGGAGGCACCTCAGTACAAATCTCTTAATATTCAACAAAGGGAAATGATAAGTCCTGTTCCTGGGGAGGAGTAACCTCATGCACCAGTACAGCATGGGGCCAACCAGCTGGAAAACAGCTTTGCGAAAAAGGGCCAGGAGTCCTCGTAGGCAACAAGTTGAGCATGAGTCTGAAATCATAGAATCATGTACATTTGTGGCAAAGGTGGCCAACAGCCTCTGGGTTGCATTAGGGAAAGTGTTGCCAGCAAGTCAGGAGAGGTGATCCTTCCTCTCTGCTCAGCATTGGTGGGACACATCTGGAGCACTGTGTCCAGTTCTGGGGTTCCCCAGTGCAAGAGATGGACATATGGGAGAGAATGCAACAAAGGGCCACAAAGATGATTAAAGGGCTGGTACATCTGGCATATGAGGACAGATTGATAGACTTCAGACTGTTTATTCTGGAGAAGAGAAGGCTTGAGGGGATCTTATCAATATGTATAAATACCTGATGGTGGAGGGAGTAAAGAATATGGAGCCAGATTCTTCTCGGTGGTGCCCAGTGGCAGGACAAGAGTTTATGGGCACAAACTGAAATACAGGAAATTCCATTTAAACACAAGAACAAATATTTTTAACATGTTCATGATGAAATACTGGAACAGGTTGCTGAGAGATGTTGTGGAGGCTCCATGCGTAGAGATACTCTAAACCTGACCAGATGGCCAGGCAACCTTTTCTAGTTGACCCTCCTTTTGCAGTGGTTTAGGAGCAGGTGATTGCCAGAGATCTTTTCCAACCTCAACTGTTCTGTGCTCTGTGATACCTTAATCTGTTTTTTTCTCATGACTGAGTCAAAACAGGTCAAGAACTGTGATCACAGCTGGCACTTACTATTTTGGGCCAAGTACTATCTGGGATGTGCTGTCCCACATCCTCTTGAAATAAATTATGTCGGGACAAAAATCAGGAATTGTGGTGAAAGGTTTGGGGGGGAGCAGTAGAATTGCTTCCTGTGCTATATATAATTTGAAGTTGAGTAGAGGACTTCACTCTGTAATATTTCTAATGTGGTATCTTTCACTAGTATGAAATTCTTACAGAAAATAAAAAAAAAAAAAAAGAGGCCTGAATTTTCCCAGTGTTGATAGACCTGTGTTAAAGTTGATATTGTTACTTAGTGGAAAATGGGGTTAATGAACGGAAAACAAGGTCTTGTGTTTCTGTTATCCCCTAAAGACTACCGTTTCTATGAATAATCTTAAGGCACCCGTGGAGGAATTGACAATTTTAATGATGTTTCTCTTAAAACAGCTTAGTTAAATGCCATGGGAAGCAAACAAGGAAAAGGTCGCTTTAATGGTATTTCCTAAAATGACAGAACAGCAGCATTTGTGGAATGTCCTGGAGCACAATCATTTGGCTTTAATAAAAAATAATGAAAAAAACCCAACAACAAGAAAATTAGCTGAATGATAAAAGTAAATAATTCGTAACAGATTTCCTCCTAAATCCTGGAAGTCATCTTGTCTAGAGCAGCTGATACAAAGAAGCCAAAGCCAATAGTTCTGCACCAGCTGAAAACTGTCTTTGTATATGTTATTCATACTCTGTGCAGACAAATTTGTTTCTTTTTTTCTATCAGTGATCACTTGCAATCCCCAGACTCAATGTGCAGAGTAAGCAATCAACAATTTGTCTATAACGCAGATGCAATCAGTGTTGAAGATATAATGGTACATGTAGGATACTCATATTGGGTTTGATTTTGAAGTGTATGGAGAGCACTGTTGAGTGCTTCATCAAAGAAACCTTTAAGTTTTTTCTTGCCTTTATGTGCCCAAATACTACCTACTACCTGCATCTTCTCTTGCTTAGTGTCAAGCATGTGCTTCAAATCATTCTAGTTTAAGACAAAGTGATTTCATCAAAACACTGGAAGACCAGCACTGTACTGAAATTAACAGAGACCATACAGGAACCTCTGTATGTATTTCTTCTGTACTTCCTTTTGAAAGTGACAAAACATTGGAGATGGATTTTATATTGATAGAAAGCTAAAAGGAACTATTTATTTGCAATTGTTTCTCCAGAAGACCATCTCTACAGTCAAAACAGCTGTACTAACTCATCTGAAGGTGGGCTCTTCCTACACTGTGAGGACCTCAACTGAACACAGAGACCTACACAGAGAGACAGAAGAGCAAATCAGAAACTATACAGATCATCCAGGTTAGTTCTGATTTGCATGTGGGGAATGGGAGAGGAACAGAATACCTGGGAACAAGATTTTAGGTATCACTGTTCTCTTACACTTCTGTGATGTTACCTACATTCACCAGGCAAGAGGAATCTTTTATCTATTGCAAGGTGGTTTTTAACTTTAGAACAAGGTTACAGCAAACAGGGCCTCACTGTCCCCAATTACAGACAAACCAGGTGTGTTTAGAAGCAACATATATCCTAACGCTATAAAAATGGTAACCTCCTACCCCATCTGTTCTCGTTATACCATCACCATTTTAACAGAACAGAACTTGTATTCAGGCTGTGCTACAAGTGTTAGTCACGCTGTTACTCAGTCTGAGGGCCAGCATATTAACTTGGTTTAGATTGTAATTATAGTCTAAACTGGAGGCATTTCTTCTAAGTTAGTAAATACGCTTATTACAAATGATAGTTGAGTAATTTTCGTGATTTTATGCTGTATTTTTCCTCTTTCTTTCTTTCTCCTGTCCTTTATTCTTCCAGACTGGCCACCAATTAGAATAAAACTTAGTGTCAGCATCTTCATCCTTGGTGCAAATTAGAATCCTTCAGGGCTTTAATCTATTAAGAAGAGCTTGTGCATTCAATTTGTGCGTGAAGCCTAATTACACCTAATGTCTCATGCTTTTCAGTGTCCTTTCTATTTCTCTCACAGTGCTTGCAGCAATCACTTAGAGACAAAGTAGTGCGAAACCTTTTCTTCCTATGGTGTTTCCACTTTACAGGATCGGAAATGCTGTGAGGTCATGTGACCCAGTTCTCTACTGCCAGGCACTCTGCAGCGGTATTTATGTGAGCGCAGTGTGAGTGTAAAGTGTGGCTGAGTTAAGCTGGTGCATGCTTCACACTGATGTAAATGAGTACACCATGCAGCAGGGCAGTGGTGAATCAGTTGTCAGGGCTCAAGCTCAGTCATACTTCTGCTGAACTGAGCAGTAAGTTTCCTGCAGTTGTTTCCATAGGCATGATCCTGCCCCTCTGTTGGTATCCTAAATAGTTCCCACAGCTGTTAGAACTTCATAGACAGCCAATACAAAAAAATACAAATGCTAAACTTCAGATTCTATTATGTGAAACAAAGTATGATGTTTTGCTCGCAGCTCCAGTTCTCTAGCTGTGTATTAATATATATTCAAGAGGAACACATTTCCTCCCCATAATTTTAGAACATTACCATTTTACATCTTTGAAGTCTTCTGGAAAACTGACTAATTCATTCTTGATTAGCTACATCCCTCAAGGTGACCACTTTCTTCTCTGGCATGTGCAGTGGCTGAGGAGCAAACAATGATTTTAGGAGCCCAGTCTCTGTGCATGAACATCTTGCACAGAATCAAGGCCACTACCTAGTTAAAGTTAGGTGCTAGTTAAGTGATGCTCTCTTGGCATACGCCAAGTCTCCTCCTGGCTCAGACTACCACGATGGAATTAAACCTTGCAGAATCAGGGCGTGCCCTTCTTCATATCCCAGTCAACTGTTTCACAGAGAAAGCAATGGTTTTTTTTGTCTCCAGAGCAACTCAATCTTTCTGGTAATCACACACAGCTACCTAGCACTTCACTGAAGCATGGGTACTCTGCATTCCCAGTGAACTGAACCATCTTGCCAAGTACAACAAAGATGGCTTACACCTTTCTTCTCCCTGGTCCTCACCCTCCCAGTCAAGCAGATTTCCAAGAGAGTAATTCAGCATCCTTTGCCTAGAAATAAGGAGCCACCTTTCCGTAGGAACTTTGTCCCATTTCCAGGACTCCTAAGCATACAGGAATTCCTGCAAAGAAAGCCAAGTATTCTGCAGGAAAGCATGTGTCACAAAATAGGACAGATTCTATGTGATGGAAGTTGTGTCCAGGAAAAATCAGGGTGGGTAACAGTGGTGTAATGGAGGGAAAAAACCCAACCCCAACAACAAAACACCAAAGCCCCAAAACCCAGAATAAAGAGCTTGGCCATCAAGTACTGAAATGAAATGTCATTTGCAATTAATTGCTATAATAAGGTCAGCTGCCTTCCTAATTGCGTTCAGCTTCTTACTAAGGGATCAGTGCTGCTAATTAGTTTGCATGTAAACTTCAGAGGACGTGAATAATCAGAGTTTAGCAAGCCACACCAACCATAACTAATCCTTCTAGCTCTTCTGCAAAGAATACACAGTAAGCAAGTGTTGTCCTCTGCCCAGCCCCACAGATGGAGTCAGGACTTATTGCTCCAGCTACTTTTTTTTCCAATGAGGTGCTGCAAAGCTCTCAGAAGCATGCAGAACTGGCAACCTTGAAGTCACTTTTGAAGGAAGTGGGTTTCCTAGGTAGAATAGGAGCAGTGTGATAGATCTGTCACCAGTGCTATAAAGAAGAGGATATTTAGCTGAAGCTTCCTGCCTGCTAAGCAGATGTTTCAGGATCCAGTAGTAGCCAAGTACCATTCACAAAACCCCAAGTTGACATCTGAGTCTTAGCATACCTTGACCAGCTTATAGGCCACAGAGTCACAAGGGCTGTTAAAAAACTGCCATTACTTTTCAGTCTGGTTTTGTTCTAACCAGTCAACCAGAGTAAAAGATCTGGCCTAGCCCCTGTATCAGAATAAGCAGTCGAAACAGCCTTTCCCTTTCACTTTCCATCATCCTTTGTATAGACATTGCTTTGATTTTCCTGGAACTCACTGAGGTCTGTGTGTTCATAGCTAGAGACTGACTTTATTTCTGACTGTATTAATGCCATATTCTTGGCTGGAACAACACATGTTGAGCTAGATCATTGTTAATTAAATGATGGTCAATACAACATCGGGCATTTCCTAAACAATTCCAAAACTTAAGAAAGCCCACGCACCCTTCCCCACCATGCAGCTAAACAAATCCATGCACATAAATCAGGGCAATAAAAGGAGACCCATTCAGAGCCCAAACTAATTTTAAAATTGTTATGAGTGAAGGCCTATGTTACAGCGTAGCCCAAGGTAGCGTTTGGATTTTTTCAAGGAGGCAAAAAAATCCTTCAAATGAAAAATGTTGAGGAACATTATTATACAGACTTTTGTTGGAGCAGCTGCCTAGGGACAAGCTCACTCCAGCCCTCCTTAGTTCAGATATTTAGTAGATACAGCCAACAACATGTGGTTACTAATGTTTGTGATACAGATCACCTGTCTGCATGCTGCATTTTCTGTAAAGTGACCATTTGCTAGAATATAGATTTTTTTTTAAATTATTTCTCTGGAAGATGAGAAGGTATATACAGAATAGAAGGAAGCATTCAAAAATGATGGGGAAAGCAGAGGAAGACTCCATTTTACAAATCTGTGCCCTCTGTTTTGCTAACTGAAAAGCACGAATAAATTGAGAGAATCTGAAGTTCAGCTGAATTGTTGTTTTTTTTCTAAAACTCTGGTCTGTTATCCCTGAGAAAGTATCATGGATAGGTTCAAAACGGTCATAAGATGTTAGATGTGAACACAACCCAAGTTTCTTCAAGGTAGACAAATGAAGTCAGGGTGAAGTTGCTGGCTACAAATGTTTACACTAGTCAGGGACTGCTAACTACCTTTAATTGCTGGCAGATGATCAATGTTTTGGTGGCAGGAAGTTTAATCTAATTCTGGCTGATTCTGTCTCCCTTGCTTTGAGGGATCTGGGTTTGAGTTGGGCTGTTATCTGGAAACAGAGTTACACTTTCAAAATGTTTGAGAAATGCCAAGACAAACTAAAGGGAGAAATGAGACAATTCCTGTAAAATTTCCACATTTTTTTTCTTTTTTTTCCCTTCAGTTGGAGTAATCTCTGACTTTTGCTTTCTAAGAGCTTGTAAACTTTTTCTGCTTTCTGAAGAGCAAATGTCTTTTTCCTCTTTCCATAGCTGTTACCTGAGTTGCAGCAACTACTGTTGGCTTTTCTTTTGGGTTTGCCTGTTCCCTTGTCAGCAAACAACTTGTGCAGACCACTCACTAAATCTTGACTAATACAGGAGGGCGGGTTATAACGGGCTTGAGAAGTCAGTGAAAGGGAAGGAGCTGTGAACAGAAAAAACACAGGGAAAAGGGTGAAACTGAAATCCAGAAAGATCCAAAACAACAACTTACATCTTATTATGGTGGATACAGATTTTGATGTAGTTGTAGTTGTAGTTGATGTAAAATCTGTGGTGTAGACCATTTTTTAATATGGAAACAAAATCTTTTTATTTAAGAACAATTGGTAAAAGTAGTTTGATAGGTAGTATATTGATTTAAGGCATTGTCAAGGAACATTATCTTCATGGTGAAGGCCATAACTTTTATTAACTGCACAACTTCTACAGACCTGATAACGCTTAAGTTCTAGGAACCAATTTATTTACTTTCAACATTTTTTTTTTCAACTGAGAGAACCAAACCCACCAAAAATAAATGTTTGTACTGGGTTTGTAGTGTGAGCTAACTAAAATGTATTTTTCCATGGTGTAAGGAATGCTGCAGAAAAAAAAGTACACCAACAATACATCAGACGCAAGCTTGCCTTAGTAAGTTCTGTCTCAGTTTCACTCAAACATTTGCATGCGTGTGCATGTGTAAATGCATATATGGTATGTATGCACATTGTGCATACCTGTATGCACAGGTATGTACACACATTGTGATTCATGAAGTGGAAAGCAATCTTGTGGCATTAATAGTTTTAATTTTTAATGAATAATGAACATTATTTCAGATGAGCATTGTCCAGATCCCTACTTTTTTAAAATTCAAAGCAAGTTCTCAAACTGCTTTATTAACACATTAAAGATGTGAGTTAGTACTGAAAAGCTTTAATCTGCAATTTATATATTCCTGAATTGGAGTGTAATTCCATCCTTATTCATCAGGAAGTCAGTGGAAGTAGAATACAGCCCTTAGATCTGATGGTGTGGTTTGAGCCCAAAGCTAAAAATAATTTTAGAAGACTAACTAAGAAAACTAAGAGAATATATATACATGTCTGTATTGTATT